CCTCGCACACAAAACCTCCTTTTACCCCTCCCTCCAACCCTTCCTAGGCCGACCCTACCCCGCCTTCCTTCCACTACAGACTGATACACTCTTGAAGTCATTCTGTTTCGCTCCATTCTCTCTACATGTCCGAACCTCCCATAAGCTACATTTTTCTCTTTTATCACACCTTTTACTTCATCATTCCTCTTTCCTACTGCACCCACCCTCCTATAGCCACAAACACCTGCCCCACATTCTAATACTGCATTTTTAAAACTATTCCAACCCTCTTCAACCCCCCCACTACTCATGCTTGCACTAGCCCACCTTTCTGCCAATAGTTGCTTATATCTCACCCTAACTTCCTCCTCCCTTAGTTTATACACTTTCACCTCTCTTACTTCTTGTTGCCATCTTCCTTGCCCCATCTACTTCTTACTGTAACTGTAGCTGCAACTAAATAATGATCCGATATATCAGTTGCCCCTCTATAAACATATACATCCTGGAGCCTACCCATCAACCTTTTATCCACCAATACATAATCTAACAAACTACTTTCATTACGTGTTATATCATACCTTGTATATTTATTTACATTCTTTTTCATAAAATATGTATTACTTACTACCAAACTTCTTTCTACACACATCTATTATTTTTTAATATTTTTTTCTTTTCAAGTAACTTTTATGGCCTGTGAGACCAATATGAGGACTATTTTGTAAATATTTACCCTTTCTATACTACACAATAACTGCACAAACACTGTTGTCATTATATTGTTTACAAAACATGTTTACACCAATGTATTATATAAACACACAGTCACAGGACATGTTTCTAGAAGTTCTGCAGCCCGTGGAAGTCTCTGAAACATGGTGTCATGCACAGTGGTGTTTTACACTCCTCACACATGTAACGAGTGTCTCTGCGTTGTTGTGGGCGCTTTTTTGTATGTGCACAGACAAAACACCTCTTCTGAGCCTTTTTCTTTGAAGCAGCAGCAGGCAATTTTGTTAGGAAGTGATCACCAGGCCTCAAATGAGAAGGTAGTTGTTGATAATTTGGTTGGCAGTTTTTTATTGCAGGCGTTGTTCCTTGGTACTTGAATATTATTTGTCTGATGACAGACAGACAAAATTTGCCAGATGGTTTTTTGTTTCTGGTCCTCATCTTATACATATAAGCATTGAGCATGGAAATGTTCAGAAGATGGAAAAATTGTTTTATGTACCACTTTAAACTCTTGCGAACACAATCAGCAAACCCAATCTGCATGTCACATTTGTCCACTGGACGCATATTGAGGGTGCTGTCCATCACAGCTGCAGGCTTTAGAATGGTTTCATTGGTCTCTCCATTCTGCCTGCCAGTGTCTGTCATTTCATTAGGGTGAACTGATGACAACAGTGTCACATCTATTTGTTGTGCCACTGAAATGCCATGATGTCATTGGCAGCAAATGCCTGCACCTCACTTCTACGAGTGCCAGCGCCAGCGTGAACCTAGGCATATGCTTACATTTGCATGCACTGTACCGCACACATCTGTCATGTTCACTCGCAAAAAATCACTGAGTAAGGGGTCTGTGTATCAGTTATCAGTGTATAATATATGCCCCTTACCAAGATATGGTTCCATCACTGTTCTAACCACAGCACCAGAGATGCCCAATAACTTCCTGGTATTCTGCAATGTATTACTTCCAGTGTACACAATAATATCCAATACAAGACCACTGTAGCAGTCACAAACCACAAACAACTTTATACCAAACCGTTTCCTCTTGCTTGGTATATACTGCTTGGACGACAGTCTACCTTTGAACACAATCCAAGACTCATCAATAACAAGCTTCCTGAAGGGATAAAAATACATACTGAATTCGTTTCAGATACACAAACACATTCCTAATCTTATATAACCTGTCGTTTCTGTCAGGCCTGGTTCTGTCTGAGAAGTGTAGCATATGCAATAGTAGCTCAAATCGATTCACTCGTATATCATGAAACCTGGGGTTGCAATCAGGCGGTCTGTCGACCAGTATGATTTGACACTGTGCTTATGCACATGTGGCATAAGCATTATTGTGGCAAAGAAAAGATGCATCTCAGCCACAGTTGTCTCTTTCCACTGGTGTAGGTGTGATTTTGGCAAAAGTATTGTTTGCCATGGTGTAATCGAAGTATCTGTTGCTTTCCCCGACAATAATTTCCATCAGGGGTTCGTCAAAGTATAACTCGAAACATTCTAGTTCAGTGGCATTGCTCCCAAGTGGACAAGATGGCCGTGTTCTACTTTGACTTTCATCAAACTGATGGGGATTGGGAACAAAACCGTCAGCTTCCGGCCAATCCCAGGTGCGGTCTGCTGGTGGGTAATGGATATTCATAGGTGGTTGTGGAAGTTGTGGTTGTGGAAGTTGTGGTTGTGGAGGGTGGTGTGGAGGGTGGTGGTGGTGGGTGGGTGGGTGGGTGGGGGATGGTGGCCTTTGTTGTAGTTCAGTTGAGGCAGCGGCGTGGGTAGCAGCATGGCCCACTGTTGGTGCCTCACGGCTGGCACCACCACTACCACCACCAGACGCGTGCACATTTTCCATCCCAATTGCAATAATAGGATCTTCATTTTCACTATCTGTTCCTGTTGTACACCCACAGGATGTACTCCAAGATGCACTCCTTCCCCTTGGAATAGGACATGGCACACTACCAGAGCGCATATAGCGTCGTATATACTGACGCTTCACTGGAGAATATTCCACTTCACTCTCGTTACTGGAACTGTTTTCAAGAGCTTCGAGTTCATATTCACTATCACTATCATCACCAGTGCTCACATCCGAGTCATGGATATGGGAAAATATGAGTTTACTCTTTCGTTCTGGTACAACTGAACATGAACAAGACAGTCCAGTACCAGAGGTTGAAGGTTGAGGGTCATCTGGATTTTCCTCACTATAACTGGTATTATGGTCATTAGTTTCAGTCACAACCTCATCAAAACCTTGAAACTCATCTTCACTGACACTTCCATCTGTATTAGAACTGTCACTGGGGAACAAAAGTGTCCCAATTCGCCGAGGAGAGAGGCGTTTCTTACCGCAAGGCATGGTGAACAAGGTATACTAAAATGGCATTCCCACAACGCACCACTGGGTCTCCGAATTTTTTCCTACTGCGCACACTGACCACGCAGACCCATTCTCTAACATCTAGGCCTACCAGTCTTTTCCATCTTTATTTGAAGGTGCTAGAATTTATGCGTACTAGTACATGAATAACCTGAAAGGGTTAAAGGCTCTCCATTGTCATTTATCCCTGGCACCCCAAATTTACCTACTAGTCCCTCCAAAACATTTGTACCTACTTTAGCACTAAAATCCCCAACCACAAGTACTCTCACAACTGGTTCAAAACTTCCCATGCACTCACTCAACATTCCCCAAAATCGTTCTCTCTCCTCTACACTTCTGTCTTCTCCAGGTGCATAAACACTTACTGTAACCTACTTTTCACATACAACCCTTATTTTACTGCACATAATCCTTGAATTAATACATTTACATTCCCTCTTTTCCTGCCATAATTTATCCTTCAACATTATTGCTACTCCTTTAGCTCTATTTGAAACCCCTGACCTAATCCCATTTATTTCTCTCCACTGAAACTCTCCCACCCCCTTCAGCTTTGTTTCACTGAAAGCCAGGACATCCAGCTTCTTCTCATTCATAACATTAACAATCATCTCTTATTCGCACAACATCCACAATAACTATTTTATTATATACCTCTCATATCTGAACTATATGGGCTGAGACCGGTTCAGAAACACAGTTACTGGATATGTGAGGGGAAAATAAATGGGCATCTGTACTGTCATATCGCCACTGGCAACAGTATTGTAGGTTTAAAAAACGAGTCCAACGTTGTCTGGAAGTGGGACCAGACACTATGGGCTCGAATAACACCCTCCTGGGTTTCTGCGGCCATTTTAAGTTCGGTACCATGAACAATCATACCACTACCACGTTGTTGTAGGTACCACTTCATCACGCAATGATCAAGTTCCAAGCTCTATGGCTTCGCCATCACTTTCCTTCTGGCACTTTTTCCAGTTTTTGAGGCAGTAGAAAACATCCAAATGGCTGTTAAGATGTTTCGGTAATAATTTTAGAATTTTGCTGTTTCCCAGGGCCTGTTTGGATAGTGGCGAGGTTTGGATAATGGCAGGCCAGATATGCGAGGTATCACTGTATTTAGGTATGAATACTGGTCAGAGAGCCCATCTTAAGTCCGAGGTGTCGTAAGTGAGGAGAGGCTATACAACATCAAATATGTTCAAGAGCAGAATTATGGCTGGACTCTCGCACACTTGACGAGTAGAAGTTAATAGAGTCAACTTGATGTTTTACCACTGTTGGACATACCCATGTCTTTAATTATACAACTTCAAAATTAATTATTTTCTGGAACAACTGGAATATTTTCAAGACCACTGTACTTGCTAATTTTTTCATACATTCAGTGAAGTTTTAAACAAATGCTAAATGAAAACTAACTTTTAATAAACCATCAACCTCACTCCTCATCACTATTAGCTATAAGGTGAACAAGAGTCTCAAGAACATCAAAGGCTTGGCTGTAGTTACACTTTTTTTTTTTTTTTTTTTGTAATACTGGCCATTTCCCACCAAGGCAGGATGATCCAAGGAAGAAACTTTTATCATTCAATCACTGTCTTACCAGAGGTGTGCCTACACTACAGTTAAAAAACTGCAACATCAACACTCCTCCTTCAGAGAGCAGGCATCGTACTTGTTATGCTTGTTATAAACCTAAATGTAATGATTATAAAAACATGGAAAAAAAAAAAAAAAAAAAAAACAGCATTAAAATGGAGAACTTTCAGGAAAAAATAAAAGCTAATTCTGAAGAGTGACAATTTTTAGGAAAAGTTCCTTAAAGTGCAGCACTTGATTTATCAATAAGACTATTAATGGCATTAACTGAACTTACCTCCAATGACTTAAGGTGAGTAGCATATTTCTCATAATGTTGCAATGAAGAAAAATGGGCCAGAGTCTCACTTGGTGATTGTATCAATTTGTCTGAACATATTGTGCAGTAGAAATGAGATTTCTTTGTTATAAAATTTAAGCCTGAAAAACAAAATAACTGCATTTGGAGACTTTCTTCACCCAAAAAGTTGTTTGCACATAATAAAAATAATCTGTAGTACAATGAATCAATCTTCACCTATTAGTTCTACCCACCTAACCCAACAGTTGTGACCCTCCTTACTAATTTCTGCACAGTCAGGCCTCCTCCTCCTTGCCTCTGTCAGCAAGTCTTGCCTCTCAAACAGGAGGCCTGGTTGTCCAGTGAAGTTAACATAAGTGTTGTACAGCGCTTCTCATTAAAAAGCGATAAGTGAAAGACACCCAACTTAATTTAATGTCCAAAGAAATACCAAATTCTGGTACATTTGTCAATGAGACAAACAATTATACTGGCTTGGCAACTCAAATAAGGGACATCTCAGGATTCCTTATAGCTACTGGCAGCATCTCAGTGTCTTCTCGGCTTGTGTGTTGTCTGTGGTTCCCCTTAAACATGCGGTCATTAGCGGCGAGTCTAAACATTTTTGGTTACTAACTAGTGAGTGTGTGTGTGTGTGTGTGTGTCTGTGTGTGTCTGTGTCTGTGTCTGTGTGTGTCTGAGTGTGTGTGTGTGTGTGTCTGAGTGTGTGTGTGTGTGTCTGAGTGTGTTGTGTGTGTGTGTGTGTGTGTGTGTGTGTGGGTGTGTGTGTGTGTGTCTGTGTGTGTGTGTCTGTGTGTGTGTGTCTGTGTGTGTGTGTGTGTGTGTGTGTGTGTGTGTGTGTGTGTGTCTGTGTGTGTGTGTCTTTTGTGTGTGTGTCTGTGTGTGTGTGTCTGTGTGTGTGTGTCTGGTGTGTGTGTCTGTGTGTGTCTGTGTGTGTGTGTCTGTGTGTGTGTCTGTGTGTGTGTGTCTGTGTGTGTCTGTGTGTGTGTGTCTGTGTGTGTGTGTGTGTCTGTGTGTGTGTGTGTGTCTGTGTGTGTGTCTGTGTGTGTGTCTGTGTCTGTGGGTCTGAGTGTGTGTGTGTGTGTGTGTGTTTTGTGTGTGGTGTGTGTGTGTGTGTTGTGTCTGTGTGTGTGTGTGTGTGTGTGTGTGTCTGTGTCTGTGTGTCTGTGTCTGTGTGTCTGTGTCTGTGTGGTCTGTGTCTGTGTGTCTGTGTCTGTGTCTGTGTGTGTGTGTGTGTGTGTGTGTGTGTGTGTGTGTGTGTGTGTGTGTGTGTGTGTACGTACTCACCTAATTGTACTCGCCTAATTGGGGTTGCAGGGGTCGAGACTCAGCTCCTGGCCGAGCCTTTTCCTGATTGCTACTGGGTCCTCTCTCTCTCTGCTTCCTGAGCTTTGTCATCCCTCTTCTTAAAACTATGTATGGTTCCTGCCTCCACTACTTCACTTGCTAGGCTATTCCACTTCCTGACAACTATGACTGAAGAAATACTTCCTAACGTCCCTGTGACTCGTCTGAGTCTTCAGCTTCCAGTTGTGACCCCTTGTCCCTGTGTCCCCTCTCTGGAACATCCTATCTCTGTCCACCTTGTCTATTACCCGCAGTATCTTGTATGTCGTTATCATGTCTCCCCTGACTCTTCTGTCCTCCAGTGTCGTCAGTCCGATTTCCCTTAACCTTTCCTCGTACGACATTCACTTGAGCTCTGGGACTAGCCTTGTTGCAAACCTTTGTACTTTCTCTAACTTCTTGACATGCTTGACCAGGTGTGGGTTCCAGACTGGTGCTGCATACTCCAGTATGGGCCTAACATACACAGTGTACAGTGTCTTGAACGATTCCTTATTAAGGTATCGGAACGCTATTCTCAGGTTTGCCAGGCGCCCGTATGCTGCAGCGGTTATTTGGTTGATGTGTGCCTCCAGTGATGTGCTAGGTGTTATGGTCACCCCAAGGTCTTTCTCCCTGAGTGAGGTCTGTAGTCTTTGTCCACCTAGCCTATACTCTGTCTGCGGTCTTCTTTGCCCCTCCCCAATTTTTACGATTTTGCATTTGGTTGGATTGAATTCGAGAAGCCAGTTACTGGACCACATGTCCAGCCTGTCCAGGTCTCTTTGCAGTCCTGCCTCATCCTCGTCCGATTTAATTCTTCTCATCAACTTCACGTCATCTGCGAACAGGGACACTTCAGAGACGTTCCTTCCATCAGTCGTTCAATATCAAAAATAGCACGGGCCCTTTGAACTAAACCCCTGTGGGACCCCGCTCGTAACAGGTGCCCACTGTGATACCTCTTCACATACCATGACTCATTGCTGCCTCCCTGTCAGGTATTCCCTTATCCATTGCAGTGCCCTCCCTTTTACATGCGCCTGATCCTCCAGCTTCTGCACTAATCTCTTGTGGGGAACTGTGTCAAAAGCCTTCCTGCAGTCTGGGAAAACGCAATCTACCCCACCCCTCTCTCTTCGTGTCTTATTCTTTTACTTGTCATAAAACTCCAGGAGGGTTTGTGAATACAGGATTTGCCTTCCATGAACCCATGCTGGTTTTCAATTTATAATCTTGTTCCTTTCCAGGTGTTCAAACCACTCTCCTCCTGATAATCTTCTCCATACTTTGCACACAATACATGTCAGAGACACAGATCTGTAGTTTAGTGCCTCGTTTTCTTTTCCTTTCTTAAAAAATGAGGACTACATTAGCTGTCTTCCATTTCTCAGGTAGTTGCCCAGTTTCAAGGGATGTGTTGAAGATTGTGGTTAGAGGAAAAGGGACAGCATCTCTGCTCCTTCTCTAAGGACCCATGGGGAGATGTTGGGCCGGTCCCATCGCCTTGAGGTGTAAAGGTCACTTAAGAGCTTCTTCACCTCCTCCTCAGTTGTTCGTATGTCACCAACACTTGTTGGTATATTCCCTCTTGATTTCCCTTCTGTGCTGTCTTTCCCCCAGCCCTTCCCGTCTCTACTGTAAAAACTTCCTTAAATCTCCTTTTTCAGCTCCTCACATACCTCCTGATCATTTCTTTTGAGTTCTCCACCTTCTGTCCTTAATCTGATCACCTGGGTTTTTTGACTGTTGTCTTCCTCCTGATGTGGCTATACAACATTTCGGGTCAGTCTTTATTCTCGATGCTATGTCATTTTCATTTCTGTCGCTGGGCCTCCTTCCTTACCCGTGGTACTCATTCCTGGCTCTGCGACTGATCTCCCTATTTTCGTGTGTTCTCTGCCTTCTGTACTTTTTCCATTCCTATTGCACTTTGTTTTTGCCTCCTTACACCGTCGGGTAAACCAGGGGCTCGTTCTGGTCTTCCCGTTGTTACTGTTGCCCTTGAGAAAACCTTTCCACTGCCTCCTTGCATTTTGTTGTTACTATTCCATCATTTCATTTAACTGGCTTTCCTGCCATTCTCTGTCCCACTGGACCTCCCACAGGAAGTTCTTGCAACCCTATGTAGTCCCAGCTCTTTTATAGTCAGGCTTTTCCCGTTCAAAACTCCTGTTATCTCTCCACTTTCAGCTCTATTTATTTCAATGCACAGAACCACGTGGTCGCTAGCTCCTTGGGGACCTCTCATACTTATGTCCTCAATGTCTGAGCTGCCCAGGTGAACAAGGTTCCAACCTTTGCTGGTTCATCCTCCCCTCTCACTCTGGTAGTGTCCTTAACATGTTGGTACATGAGGTTTTCCAGCACCACGTCCAACATCCTGGCTCTCCATGTTTCGGGACCCCCATGTGGCTCCAGGTTTTCCCAGTCAATCTCCCTGTGGTTGAAATACCCCATAACCAGCAACTTTGCTCTGCTGGAGTGAGCTCTTCTTGCCACCTCAAGCAATGGTGGTCCAACCATTGCTCTGTTTGCTCTCTTCATATTCATCTCTTGGCCTTCCTGCAGTTCTGTGGTGGATTATACATCACTGCAATGACCACTGTGTTCCCCAGACTGAAGTGTACCTAGCCACTGTGTTCCCAGACTGAAGTGTACCTGCTATGTAGTCTCTTCCTCCCGTCTCATCTATGCCTTCCATTATCTCGAATTTCCATCTGTGTGTGTGTTTTGTGTTGTGTGTGTGTGTGTGGTGTGTGTGGTGTGTGTGTGGTAGTGTTGTGTGTGTGTGTGTGTGTGTTGTGTGCTGTGTGTGTGTGTGTGTGTGTGGTGTGTTGGTGTGTGGGTGTTAGTGTGATGTGGTGGTGTGGTGGTGTGTGTGTGTGTGTGTGTGTGTGTGTGTGTGAGTTGTGTGTGTGTGTGTGTGTGTGTGGTGTGTGGTGTGTGTGTGTGGTGTGTGTGTGGTGTGTGAGGGTGTGAGTGTGTTGTGTGTGGTGTGTGAGTGTGTGGTGTGTGTGGTGTGTGTGGTGTGTGTGTGTGTGGTGTGTGTGGTGTGTGTGGTGTGTGTGTGTGGTGTGTGTGTGTGGTGTGGTGTGGTGTGTGTTTTTGTGGGTGTTGTGTGTGGTGTGTGTGTGTGTGGTGTTGTGTGGTGTGTGTGTGTGTGGTGTGATGTTGTGTGTGGTGTGTGGTGTGTGGTGGTGTGTGTGTGTGATGTGTGTGTGTGGTGTGTGTCGTGTGGGAGAGTGTGTGTGTAGTGGTGTGTGTGTTTGTTGTGTGGTGTTGTGTGTGTGGTGGTGTGTTGTGTGGTGTGTGTGTCGGTAGTGTGTGGGTGTGGTTCTGTGGTGTAGTGTGGTGTGTGGCCGGTGTGTGTTTGGTGATGTGTGTGGTGTGTGTGTGTGGTGTGTGTGGGTGTGTGTGTTGTGGTTAGATTGTGTGTGGTGTGTGTGTGGTGTGTGAGTGGTGTGGTGTGGTGTGTGTGTGTGGAAGGTGTGTGTGTGTGGTGTGTGTGTGGTGTGTGAGGTGTGTGTGTGGTGTGTTTGTGGTGTGTGTGATGGTGTGTGTGTGGTGTGTGGTGGTGGTGTGTGGTGTGGGTGTGTGTGTGGATGAGTGTGTGGTGTGTTGTGTGGTGTGTGATGTGGGTGTGTGTGATGTGTGTGTGTTTTGGGTGTGTGTGTGTGGGTGTGGTGTGTGGTGAGTGTGTGGGTGTGTTGTGGTTCGTGTGTGTGGTGTGTGTGTGGTGTGTGGTGTGGTGTGTGTGTGGTGTGTGTGATGGTTGTGTGTGTGGTGATGT